TTCATATGACAATGCAATTAGAAATACAACTGGTTATTTTTCAATAACAGAATATGAAATATTTCAAATTAAAAAGAAGTATTAAAATATAAGTGATAAATTAAGAGTTTATAAGGGAAATCACAAAAATTAACATACTGAAGAATCACAAGACATATATTTGGAGAAATATCAGTTTTTATGACTATAGCTTCATTTTCATTTTCCACAGGTTTATTGCGTAAAATATTTTTAAAATAAGAGGATCTAGCACACAAAACATTAGAATGAGCTTTAAATTCTTTTAACTCAGGTTCTTTTCCAGCTTGAATAATGATATTATAATCATTGGCATCGTTAAGAAGTTGAGAAAAATCTCGAGAAAGATCTTCAAAGAAATAAACGACGGTCATGATTTCAATAGAAAAAGAAGAGATAAGCGATAAGACATATTATCGTTATGTAAAAGATATTTAAAAATTCAACAATCAACCCTCATCCCTGTAAGCATTGTTATATTGTTATGTTAATCTAATTAATCGAACAAAAGCGAATGCAGTAATAATACAGTAATAATTGCTAATTTATTAAGCTAACCAACTTTAGATATTACTGTGATAATTTTATCAAGTGATATTCGAATATTGTAATTAGTGATGGGAATTGTAAAAGTTAATGAGGGAATTTTTAAACATTTAATAAGTTAACAACTCGTTAAATTAATAAACATTCTAAGCAATTAATATAAGTTGGTTTCAATTATCATGATACTTCGATCTACACTTTCGTTCATGCGATCCTTATAATTTCTTTTTATTTAATTTAACAATTATCTATATATAAAAACTACTAAATTAATAAATAAATTCCTCAATTGCGTAGAACTTCCTCGTCGAAAATAAAACAACAATAATTTTTATGGCTTTACATCTTTAGAATCGAATACCTAATCCATAATTCATATCAAACCAGTATTATTATATGGATCATAAAGATAATACAAAAATAATATTATCTTCAAGATCCTTATTTCTATACAATACAATCTTGGTTTTTTAAAGCGAGCCTATCGTCGGCCATAAAAAAAATATATAACCAACGTCACTTGTAAATATAATAGCGCGTCCGTAATCTGTGACAGGTTAAGCCACTGATTTCAATTACCGTTTAAACCATTATAAAAAGCTATAATTTGAAAG